TATTGATGGTTCTCAGTAAAGAGACGATGACAACATTAATTGTCTTTTTTTTCCGAAATTTTTTTAAAATTGTGAAAAATTTTCATTAATGCTATCATTTTTTAAAGTTTCATGTTAAGTAGAAAAAATAGAACAAATAGAAAAAACTAAAAATAACAAACAGATTTGAGAATAATAATCATAAATATTCCAAAAAATAGGACAGTTACCTGTACTTGTCTCTTGTTTTGAGAGTTGTACCGGCTAAAGAAGTAAGAACAGCATTATGCTGAAAAATTCATGCTTAGTCTACCAGAACCTTGACTTTGTTATTTTAAGCATAATATATTATCTTTTTTTTATCTGTATAACCTCACATGCGATAAAAACAGAGCTAATGATAATGAGCTTAATATCCTCAAAATATAAATGTGTATCATTTCTCATATCGGGAGTCACAAACAAATTGCAAGTTTTTAAAGCGAAGCAAAACAACAATAAAAATCTATTCTAGATTTTAATATTCTCTAGTTTCCGAGGAGCATTGATATCCGAATGAAGATGTATAAGTTACAAATACGATACTGACATTATATTGTTTAATCTGTTTCTTAAATGATCCGAGACAACAAGATATTTATTACTACAGTCTGTACTTCTACAAGTGACTTATAAGAACCTGAACGAGAACTAGTTATTAGCGTGTCAAATTGGGGATCCAAGGTTCGAGATGTGGTACTACCTGACACACTTAGTCCTTTCAGCCGTGGGTGCGTTATAAGAGTGTCGGTCAATTCCACTATTCTGTTAAGAGTAACCACTTCAGGTGGCGGGTGCTGCCGACATCTTTCCCTTCTCGTTATGGTGCGTAGTTCAGAATTATAAATAGCTACGCCTGAGAAGGCGTCTCTGACTCCATAGTTTAGCCTATTGTGTGCATGTCTTTCAGGTGAACAAACAAATAATATATCAAAGTATATGAGTTGGACGAAGCTATTAGTTGTTTCAGCTCCGCTTTGTAGTGGAAGTGAAAATTATTCAACCAACAAAAGATAATGGGTCTATTTCAATAGTTTCATACTACCCAAGTTTAATTTTTCATTTTGTAAACTAATACTTTTAGCACATGCATTTATAATGTGGCAGATTATTAGAATTCTCATTAGTCTAGAGATTTTCACTGATTGCACTTTCAACAATTCTTCTTTCTTACATGGCATTCTCTGTAATTGTTATCTGCTTTCTTATCCCTAAGTATTGATTTTAAGTTCAGATTTTTTGAAGAACACTACCATAATCTGACTTGACTTCCTAGTCTTTGGATGCATTCTTCTCACAAGGCCGAGGGATGAATATTTGAGAAATCACTACCTGGATATGTTTTTTAGAGAAATATAAGTAGATAAATATTGTAAAATCAAAGAAACACTGGCTGTTTCACCTTTCTGGTGAATATGTCCCATGCTGTTGTTGTATAACGTGACGGCATACCAACAACTTACAGGGCAATTGTAGTTTTTATCAGCATTAATCACGTTTCGAATACGATCCTAGCTTTGGCATACTGAACAAATCTTCCCATATTTTCTTTTTCTTCATTTGTGTAATAAACTCTTCATTCTGATCCATGTTTAACTGTAACAATCGAACAGTACAAGTGTTGAGTGTAAGCCTTACAGCTTAATGAGGTAGAATATAGTCACATATTCCAGTAAGGTTTATTTGACTTATTCTTATAAAACATGCACGTACTGCAATAAACCTAAAACTAAACAGTGCCCTAAAATTTCCATAAGTACTTATAGGCAGCTAAAAATAAACAGGTGCAGCTTGAAATTATATTTTCTAATCATATGCCAATATTTATAAGTCGACTTAACTCGAGGCTGTTGAAGTAAGAAGTAGAACAATCCTAAAATTGGTAATTCAAATAAGTACACGTGAATAATATTAAGCTATTATAAAACCCAATTAAAAGGTTCAGTTTTGAAAAATATTTTAGGTAAAAGTTTGGCTAAAAAATTATGATGAGCAACGGAAATAATCTCTAACCCTAACTACTTATCTAACATAAAGATAATTCTATGTGCACACATTATTGCCATAATACATTAAAGATAACTCTTAAGATTAAATATTGAACTTCTACGCTTTACAGTAGCTAAACATGAGCCACCTATAAATACGGTCATCAAGGAAAAGTTGATTAGTGTTTTTCTGAAATATAAATCTTTTTTCGAAGATTTATCTCAAAGATGGAGCTTTTTTTCGAACATTTATCTCTGTTATAAAGCATTCTTTTCAAAGACAGATCAGTGATCGCTATAGCGATTTAGGGCTCAGATACCAACTAAATGTAGAGTCGATTACACAGGTTTTCCGGATAAAAATTACACGTTGTAGAACAATGCGACTGTGATGAGTTTAAGATAGTCATAATGAGATTCAGTGCTATTTTCATTTCTTGCCTTATACTTACTACTTACAGGTTTGTGAATCTAATCGTAAATGCAAACTTTTTCGATAGCTAATTAAGGCATTTGTGGTGTGGCTAGCATTATTCTATATGTGGAGTAAAATTCAAGAGGAAAGATTAGGATTTAGTATTCACTAACTTGAAGGTACGTAAATGCAGAAGTAACTTATTGTATGCCAACATAAAATTATCAATATGGTCCAATTAATTAGTTGCACGAAAAAAAAAGATCCCTAGAATAGCTTAAAATAATTTTCGAAAAAAGGCACATGGTTACTATTTTAATTTTGAAGAGTTTTTCATTTTATTAGAAAAATGTGATAACATTTATTTCTAAGTGTCTCTGATACACAAGAAATCAATATGTTGATATAATTCTTGGACACTATATTCGTAAATGATTGCAAAAAAAATAACACTAGTTTTTGTATAAAGTCTATCTTTTTATCGTGAATTTTTAGCACTTATTATTCAGAAATACACTAACTGCTATTGTTAGAAGAAATATAAAATAAAAGGTACCATACGCACAAGAGTCAAATTTCTATATCTGCTTTGTTTCTAATGATGTTTCATTATATTTTGGGTATTTGATAAAGTTTCTCTTTACATACCCTACCTATGGAAAAGGAATTGCAAATATGTAAAAGGCAATTGAAGCAATATTTTATTATTCAAGCACAATTAACGAAATATCACGTAATTCCTACAAATAATATGTATATATATTATATTAACATAAAGGCTGCAGTTTTACATGACAAAGTAGTATATTTGTAAACAAATTATGCGTAGTAAGGTTGTATCCAACCATATAAAGTTATGATTTAAGAATTCCTTACAAGTCTGTATCAGTACTAATTAATTTGTATTTGTTAATTTTAGAATCTCAACAAATTAAAACCGTAGAGTTAATTTCGCTCATTTTAAGGTGGTGTTGTGATCAAAATTATATTAAATGTTGAAGCTCATTGATAGAAATGTTTGCTAGTAACATAAGTTTTTAAAATTGAATTTGACGATAATAAGTTTTGGGCTCTACAAGACATTTGGCTTATCTGGAGAGTTCAATCTGACCAACAATACAATAGCAAGTGGCATTCAACAGATTTATTAGTTTTGTTGGCTAAAGTTAAAATTAGTTAAGAAGAGTCCCGAGTTTGAAGCGAACGTAATCTCAGTTTTTATTTAATTAGTCATCTTTTTGCAATACAATCACGTATAATTACGATAAAGTTTGGTTTTCTGTAGTAAAGTAGGATTATGAGTAGCGGTATACCAGACCACATCTCTTTTATTTCAACCTGATGAAATTTCGCATCAGACACCGATGTTTTCAAGTAGGAATTATGTGCGTTTCTAGCCGAAAAAGTGCCCCAAACTTTCCAAATAACTTATGTGTCGCATCAGTTTAACACTTGTAAGGAATCTATTGTAGGTAACATGTCTAACAATTATAATATTTTTTTTTTAGCCGAAACGGAGTTCTGTGGATTACCAGGTTCTGCTTTCTGGAAAAGTAGATTTTCAATTTAAGCTTTTCCGTTTTTTCTTAACGTTTACGAAAAGAAGAAGAAAAAGAATTAATATAAAAGGAACCTCAAAAGTTTCAGACTAATTACGTGAAGTGACATTAGCAAATAGGGCAGTTCGGACTGGATTTCAAACTTGCTGTTTGCTAGATGAAATCAAACTTGCTGTTTGCTAAATGATAGCATATAATTAAAATCGACCGTTCTTAAGCTCCCAGGGGATATTCTTCTTCTTTTAATATTCCTTTGAATTAATTGCTGCTCTAGCTGAAGTTCCAATATATTGGATTAGAAATTTTGTCACGAGTATATAACAAGGCTTGCATGCAACGATTTTTAGTTTGTAAAATTATTTGTTGTTAACAGTGTTACATACTTTCGCTAGTAAAATATTACTTAGTATGATTTTATTTTCCCTATATAAGGGAAAATTCAGTGTTTACGCATTATTTTTTTTTGTGTTCAACATGACATTTTGTTTGTTTGTTTGAATTTATGCACAAAGCTACACAATGGGCTATCTGTGCACTGCCCACCAAGGGTATCGAAACCAGGTTTTTAGCGTTGTAAGTCCGCAGACATACCGCTGTGCCACTTGGGGGCTCAACATGACATTAAATCGAGATTGGTAAGTTAATAGTTCGAACTATTATTGTATTGGTTTTGTTTGGTGTTTATAAAGTTAGTAGTTAAAAACTTCCATAAATATATGATTCTTGTATTTATTATATGCCTATAAAGAAACTTTTATAAAGTAATATTAGACAGTTCAATGGTTTCTTTTGTAGCTTCGAGACAAACTGATAAAATGTTTTTTGGTTCATAAATATATGCTATTAAAACATTTATACAATTTCATCTCACTCTTGATATAATTTAAAATAGAAACAAAACTCAGTGAAAAATGTTTGTCAAAGTTGGATGAATTACACAATTATTTTCTTCCAGTTTCCTAATACACGGAATCTATATATGATTACTGTATTGGATTATTTAATGTAGTAAAGCCTTACGTCAACATGAACTCCTTGCAAGTCATATTTCTGTCCGGGAGGATGATCACTCGGAAGATAGCGATAGAACTCCACGTGGTCTTTGTACCACTTGACTGAATAAAGCTCATCTCCTTCTAAGTCATAGCCACAGTACAACCATAAGGAGGCGCCACGTGCAACTCCAGCAGGGACATTTAGTTCCATCAGTTTTAAACTGGAAACAGCTGCGAAAGAAATTGATACTGAATAAAAGATTAGATTAATGTACATTAATTATATACATTGAGATGGTTCTTTCAGAAGTTAAGATTTGGTTATATGAGTGACATTTATTACCTCATGAAACACTTAATACACATGATTGTATTTCATATAAAGGGATAACTAGGCTAATACAAATAATTATATAACACAGTATATTAACTTAACTTTAGAATACTTAATGCTATGATTATTTGTATGATATATTTATATAGTATAGGCGTTTGAGCAAGAGGAGCCAAGACCCTCATCTGCAAAATAGGGGCTCCTGTAGCTACTTCAGTCTAACCCTAAATTTCAATAAGCTTAAGATTTTCCCACCTTCAGTTGAATGTTTGGCCCAAATTAATGAGTACTGTCAATTTGGTAGCTGAAAAATGGTTATCTGCAATGTAACCGGCCAAAGACTCGAAGCCCAAATGTTAGATATAAGGCCTGGACTTTACTGCTGAATCAATGGGAGGCAGGAGATAAAAGAGTAAAAAATATGATAAAAGATGATAATTTAGCAAAATATAATATAATTTGAGTAGTTCATTATGCTGTTATTCACACATTAATGTAGCTTGTTTCTTCCTAATTTCACTCATATTATGGTCGCCATTCCGGTTGCTTCTGAATCCTTCTAGTTTCGTCTTCTGCAACCAATTTTCTGAAAAATTAGTTCACTTTCAATTTTTACCCATCCAATTTTGCTTCTTATTTCTATGAATGATAAATTAAATCAAGCACCATGACAGAAATCAATTCATCTGGATATTTAGTTATAGACCTCTAATCATCAGAAATTTCACATTGAAGAATAATTATCTTGCTACGCTTTAGTGAACATGTATACGGAGGGATGATATGTTAATAGAGTGACGTTTGTTAAAGGATAGAGGCATGGGACACCGAGCGACATTTCTATCATCTGTTTATTTGATTATTGGCAATTTCCCAATTATTCGACGGCGCAATGCCTCCGAGCCCACTTATGGCCAAAGTGATGATGTCACAGCCCATTCCAAGAAAAAACATTCTGAAGCGGTTTTATCATAGATGCAAGATTCGAATAAGGGAGCCTTTAAAGTTATTCATAAAAGTGGAAAAATTTGCACAACAGTGCATTGACAAAAGCACGGACTAACTCATGATGACGAGAAACCTACTTGAAGTAAGTATAATGTAGAGACGGCTGATGTGAGTGTTAAAAACTTTTATATAAGTTACTAAACAAGTAGCAACAACATTTCAACCTCCTTAGCTCATGATTAGGTTGTTAAATTGATGATGACCTGAGGAGGTCGAAATGTTGTTCTTTGTTTAGTGATTTAAATAAAAAAATTATGAGCCGTCTCTATTACATAAAGGCCCTCCAGTGGCAAAGCGGTATGTCTGCGGATTTACAACGCTAGAAACCGTGGTTCAATACCCGTGGTGGACAGAGCACAGATAGCCAATTGTGTAGCTTTGTGCATAACTTCAAACAAACAAACAAAATACTATATAAAGCACGAACACCGAAACTAGAGTCCAAACTAATTCCGAAGAAAACCCGCATCTGCAGAAAGAAGGCTATGGTTACTGAAGATAATCTTACAATCTAAAAAGGCATTGTTGTGAAGCTAGGCATATATTCTGGCATATTTAACAAAATAACAAAAGAGAGCTGAAGATTAGGAAGTTCTCAAGACAAATGTCCATAAGCTTCCAGCCACATCTCGAAATCATGAGAAGGACGAATGAATAAATATGAATCACATCCATCCGTTTCAACCACGTACCTATGAAGTCCCGGATGTTAGTTCTTTAATCGTTGTTTCTTTAGAATTTTTCTGTAACACTTATATAACTTTACGTTCATGCTTATTCAATCTATTGATATTGAAGGAAGATATGTTCTGATTTTTAGAATTTGTTCATTTATTGATTCAAATTTTCTGGCTCATAATTTATCTTTAATCACACAACAATGACGATGTTATAATAACTTCTATTACTCAAATTGTTTTCTATTTATCGCTTTTTCACACTTTTTTCTTTCTTATTCCGTGTCTCATTATTTTGTTATTATTTTCTATTTACCTCTCTCCCTATATAGAAATTAGATATGCTTGTGTTTATTGATCTATAATTAAAATAAATTCGGATGTATTGAGGGTAACTAAACCAATTCTTGTTCTTTTACAAATAATTGTTACCCAATTTGATTTATTATATTCCATTCTTCCTGTAGTGTTGGTTTCATTAACAGCATTGATTAAAATGTTCAATACGTGTAACATATGTAGTTTTTTAATATGCCTCAGTGGTACAGCGGTATGTTTGCAGACTTACAACGCTAGAAACCGGGTTTTGATACCCGTGGTGGGCAAAGCACAGCTAGCCCAGTATGTAGCTTTGTGCTTAACTTCAAACAAACAAATTTTTAATATATATATATATATATATATATATTATGAGAATCATTTTGCATTGTTAGCTTAGTATATGCCCTATAGTGAGTCAGCTTTAATTTGAAGAGTTATAACGCCCAAAAGCCGGGTTTGATTCCCCTGATAGGAACAGCACAGATATCCTATTGTGTGGCTTTGCGCTTAACAGCAAACAAACAAACAACTTATTGTGTTTGTGTGTTTTATGGCAAAGCCACATCGGGCTATCTGCTATGTCCACCGAGAGGAATCGAACTTCCAATTTTAGCGTTGTAAATCCGTAGACTTACCACTGTCGCAGCGAGGAACAACAGCTTAGTATACATATATATATATTACCAAAACACAATCAAGATTGAATTACCATTTGTTTTTATCTGATCGGTCAGTGCTGTGACACTGCTCTTTAGCCACATAATTCATGAAAAATATGTTATCTTTAACAAAGCGAAAATAATGATTATATAAACAATTAAAACCTCAATGTGAAACATACAACAATTTTAAAATGTAAAAAAAAAATCCTTAAGTTATTTAGATTAGTTTCAAAGCGTTTCTAAAGTTATATATAAACTAATTCATATAAGATAATCATTTTGCTGATTATAACAAAACCAAATAAAAAACAAAGCAAAAAGAGAAAGGTTCTAGTAATTAGCCATGGGTACAGTTTAAAAAAAATTCTGAGTATCTTAATGGGTTCTGTTATGAAACTTATGCTGATTTATTTTAAATCTTAAATTTTCAGTTTGGCCAAAGTAACTTTTACCACAAGAGAAAGAGATTTTGATAGTCAACGTAATATTTCCAGCTGTTTTTAATAATATTAGTAATGTTAATCTATATACTACTAAAACT